GTGGAAAGTGAAATTGTTGAGGCAAATGACATACTGAAAGGTGTTGGGAAAATAATAAAATAGGATGGGTAAAAAAGGAAGCATAAAAGGAGGAGCCCTAATAATCAAAGCGAGAGAAGAAGTCCAGATAAATAGAGAGAGAGAGAGAGAAAGCATTTTAAAAAAAAAGAAAGGTGTTCTATCAAGGCTCAATCTTATTGAGGCAATATCAAGGAAGCATGGCCAACAGGAAAGCATAAAAAATCCATGATGTAATACCGCAAAGGCATGAGTACCTTAAAAGGTGGAAGGACTCCTATGACAAGTTAAAAGATAATGAGGTAGAGCTTTGAATCACAATACAAAGACTAGTATACCAAGCATCCATTACTACTAATGACAAGTTGCAGACCTTATGGGGATGCAACATCTAGAGGCTACCTTCCTAAAGCTGGAGATTTGACGTTTCAATTTTAACACCTTATTTTTATTTTTGCTTTTACTTTTGAAAGGAAGGGTTTTATTTTTTAAAACTGCATTATTTCTCATTCAAGTGAGAATGAATAAGGATTTCTCAATTGTGCTCTCCCTTAGACGAGAATGGGCGATAGAAATAAGAGTTCTCTAGAGCGTTTTCGCTCAGGCGAGAGTGATCTCACTCAAACAAAATTATTAACAAATGAGTATAAAATTTTTGCTTGGTTTATTACCTTAAGCGAGAATGGTCTCGCTCAAGCAAAAATCCTTGAGTAAAGGGGTATTTAAGTAACTTTAACATTTTAAAACTTAGATTACAAAGCAAGTAACAATTCTCATTTCACTCTAAGTTCTCTCACTCTCTTTCACAGCTAGAAAACACCTTTACTCTCAAAACCTCTCTTGAATCCGAGCTCAGACATCCTTTTCACCCAATTTCCATAACAACTTGGTCTTTTGGATAACATCTTCCACCTAAAACTTCTATGTGAATCATTTTCTCAAGGTAAGGAGAGCTCTATCCTATTAATAAAACTATACCTATGTGATGTGTATGAATTAGTGTGAATTATATATATATATATATATATATATATATATATATATATATTCTTTACTTCTGTGGGTGGTAACATGCTTCTATCTTAGAAATCTATGTTTATAAAATGGATTCTTTGGATGGATGATACATGTGTTATTGGTTGTTGAATGACTGAAATATGATTTATTAAAAATCTGTAATTTGTATTGAATCTGCAGGTGTCTGACCTTTAGCATAACTTGTTTAAATGTATATTGAGAAATAAATGGCAGAAAAATGTATTATCAATAAATATGATGATGAAAAGAATTAGTGTAAATAGTTACAGAGATACACTAGGAGTATAGAAGATTACGGTAATTTTAAAAATATAAGGGGAAATACAAGGTGGTAAATGTTATTCGTGATTATGCATAATTTAATAAGAGTGAAAGCATCACAAGTCACACACTTATTTCTTTACTAAACTCTTGACTGTGCTTTTGCTAAGGTATTCAATATTGTATACATTGTATTTGTATACATGGACTAATTAACGACTATTTACTTACATATGTAAGACCTCATGGAATACAAGAGGCAACGATTGACTATGATCACAGTGCATGAGAAAGTGCATATATGAGAGTAGCATATTGCATTATGTGATTGAAGTACATGTGTTATGGTATTACTGATATATTTATCATTGTGTTGTTTCTAGAAAATTTCAAATTGATTATTTTGGTTATGTTTTAGTGATTAGGAGAAGACTCATCCTTACTTACATTTTCAAGAAATAAAAATGACTACTCCTCATAGACCAGTTAGGCTAATTAAGTAGAGTTATGAAAGTAGACTAAATAATGTATTTAGGGAATGACAGAGAGTTTATCATTGTAATTTTATTATAGCTAGTGAGACTAGATTCAATGAGGTTTTCACTGTAGAAATTATAATAGTGTACAATGTAACATCCTAAATCTTTAAATTTTAAAAGCTACTTATTTCATTTATACAACTCATTATACTGTATAAATATTTCATATAATAATTTACAAACTATTTGGTAAAACAAGTGGGACTCAAAATAACATGTACATGACCAAAGTAAGTACATCTCAAAAGCAATTTAAGTCCTAGAGCAGCTCCAAAACATATTCCAACACTGAGAATCTAGTACTAGTCAATTCCATGCCAGCTTTCTATCTCTGCCAGGTCTTCAGAATCGAGATCATCGCATGATCCAAGATAAAGATCGCCTAGATCAGCTGTGACTTCAGTACCAATAATTCTTTCAAAAGTCCATCTGGATGGTCTTCCGAGATGATCATGATCGTGATAAGTAAACAAATATGTGATGGATGCCGGGGTCCTAATAGTACCACTATACATACAAATACACAGGGAAATTAAACGGAATACTACAAAAGAAATCCATTTCTAGTGTAACCAGAGTTCTAGGTTCAATTTCTACCAAAACAGCAAATTTAAAGTAATACAGTCATTGATATTCATTAAATACATAATTTAACCTATAATGTACTGAACTATCTACTAGTCTAACTCTTTCCTGAGGCTCTGTCATCCTGATCTCCTAAAAATATTAGTAAGGATGAGCTTTTATTTTATCATTTACACATAATATTAATTTAAAAACTAACATTATAGCACAATCACAATCATAGAACACAAGACAAAGAATCATAAAATCATGAATCTCAAAGTAATATATATCACATATACATATATTCCATCACAACTCATTACATTCCTCTCTTTTGGATACGCACTCCCAGTACACTGTGATCATAGACATACGATGCCTCCAGCAGTTCTTAAGGTCTTACACAACTAGGTAAATAGTCACCGGTTAGCCCATGCATACGGATACAACATATATAATAACGGGCCCCTTAGCAAAGGTATAGTCAGGAGTCTAGTTAGGAAACGAGTGTGAGGCCATGTGGCGCATTCGCTCTCAAAAAGAATGTGTACATATGTGCGAATGTTGTTCATCAACCTACATTTCCTCCAGATTTCCTATCGTCTCCAGACTCTATAGCCCCAATGTATCTCTGTAACTATTCACACTAGATCCATTCAGCTTTTTATACTTATCTCATACTTTCTTTCATACTAAACTTGTCATTCAAGTAAGAGATTGTGCTTAGTAAAGCACTTCCGAACAAAGTTCCAAATAATAGACTACTTGAACAAAATATTAACACCTAAAATCAGCCAAACATATTTTTCATAACAATTCAATGTCATACATAAAGTACTCTCATGATTACAAAATAGTTATTATGCTTAGAATCACAAAATAGAGCCCTCCTTACCTTGAAATGAAGTTTTGAAATAAGGTTTATGAAGGGTTTTGGTGAAAGGACCAAGATCTTCCTAGATATCACAAGAGAGAATATTTTGAGAAGAGAGAAACTTAGAAAACAACCAAAAAGAAAAAACAAAACTCTAAGAACTTACTTAGAGTTGATTGATGTAGTTCCCAAACTTGGATATGAAAGAAAGTTGAGGTTTTAGGGAGATTTTCTAAAAAGGGAGGGTTAGAAGTTGAGGGAACGAGGAAGACCTCGAAACTTGGATTGTAATCCAAGTTTTCTAACTTGAAAATCCTTAAATACCCCTTAATTCGTGACATTCTCGCTACAACGAGCCCTTCTCTCGCTACAACGAAAAAGTCAGACAAAATTGCACTTTACTATTTGTCATTCTAGCTACAATGAGAGCATCCTTGCTACAGCGAGAGAGCATCAAAATACTTGATTTCTGGACTCGCTTTCTCGCCACAGCAAGATATCCTGCAACCTACATTATTAAAATTCCCTAAAATTCAAATAACTTCACAAATACAACCAACATTCAATGCTATAATAATAAATATAAAAACAAGAATGTTACATACGATGTTCCTTTTGATTATCCTACTAGTGGCAGGATCCATCACACCCTTAATTTGTATGTATATAAAGGGACGGTTAGAACACCAACTACGGTGAACTACATATATACCTTGAGAGCTGATAGTTAGTATAGAGGTCACCGCCGACATTAGAGACCATTATACTTAACAAGAAGAAATGGAAGAAATAGAGAGCTAGTTTAGCGAAGACTGATTCAGACTAGAATTATATTCTCAAGGTTTTTTGTGTGGGAGTGATCTGCTCATTAGGACTTGATGTATTTTTTATCTTGTAATTATCTAAATTGAGTTCTAATGTATTTTGTTTATGACTTGTAAATATTGAACTCCTAAATTTAAGTAATACCAAGTATGTTAATTATTTATTATTGTTCAAATTATATTTTATTTAGCAAGCTAAGTTGTGATGAAAAATGTTTAATTACTTACAATTCTGTTAAGTTTATTAGTATCACAAATAAGAAAGACTTCATTAATAATTTAATTAAAATTATAAATTTTTATAAATTATAGAGAAATGATTTATTAATTAAGAGCGTTACACCAACCTTCAGCTGTGGAGGCATGATCTAGAGGCTTCACGTGGCGCATATGACATATTTAATTTCTTATTTAGTTTATATAATAATTTATGACAAGATAAAGAAAGTAAATGAATTCATTATACATGTAATATGAAAATGTAATAAAATTAAAACTTTCTTTGCATGATTTGATTTACAATACACACACTAAGGTACGAGAAAACAATAAAAGGTAAATTATACCTAAATAAATAAATTTATACTAGAACAATAAAGAAATATACATAAATTGTATTTCATTTATACAAAATTTTAATAATTACAGACCATTATCAAAATACATTAGGACTTAGTTTATATATTTACAATATCAAAAATAGTTTAAGTTCTAAAAAGCAGTTAATATCCACACCAAAACACTTTGGGGTGAGAGACATTGTTAAAGAAAAATACTATATTTACTTTTTGTATTATTATTATTTTTCTAGTAACATTTTTTTTCCTCTGACGTTAACACTACAATATTAATTAAGAATAGAAAGTACAAGGGTTTGACCTAAAATAAAGAGATGACAGAACATGTGGCTTGAATTAGAGTAAGTAAAAGCAGTACAATTGCAGCTACGAATGACGTTATTTTCCAAGGAGTGCTGAAGTAATCATGTATGAAGATTGCCTTGTATTTGTGGGAAGGGTCCTCATAAAAGCAATTCAGCTTCTTGGAGAGATAAATATAACCACCATTAATATTTTCCTGGACAACATTTAGGCACAAATTGTTAACCATATTTGCAACTGCACTACTATCACCCAAAGTGTTAATCATGATTCCCTTGTCCACAAGTGTATCAACATCTTGGCTAGTATCAATAAGGAAATCCAAGAGGACTATGTAGTCAGTAATGTAGGTCTGAAATGGATAATGACACTGCTCAAATGCAACCACATTTCTAATAAGAATCTCAGTCCAATGACAAACTTCAAATCTTGGTATTGTCAAAACACCCTTTGAAAATTGTAACTCAAGTGCACTTTTGTCTTGACCAACATGGAGCTTCACACCAGCCTCCATTAGATGGCTTGCACTATATAGATGCTTCACTATTTCTTTTTCTCTTTTGGGCAACCTATCAGGTGGTAAGTAAAAGATCCTGAGCAAATCAGTGAGGTGATTCAATTGCATACTAACTTGATCAGGCTTCATTATATAGTGTTGATAATGCTTATGAAAATAATGGATGGTGAACTTGCTACTATCTACTCCAGGCAATAGGCTTTGAAGGAAATGGACCCTAAAATAATGAAAAGCAGCATCAAAAAAGGAGGAAACATCACCATCGAAGCAACTAGGTTGTGTCAGGTTGAATAGCTCTTCAAGAACAAACCATGGAAGCTGATTTTCAAGCAATATCAAATCAAGCTTTACATCACACCTCAACCATGGTTTGGATAATAAAGGGTCTTCTTTTGGCCACTCTAGAGATCTTAGAAAATACTCAATTATGAAGCAAGCATCAGTTAAAATAATCCTAACAAAATCATCACTACTTTGTTCAATGATCTCTGAATAACAACTTCTTATAACTTCTTCAGAAGATTTTATGTATCCAATGCACTCCCCCAACCCCTTTTTAGTCCTTTCAAGAAAACTCTTGAGGTATCTCAATTTGAGATCTTCCATTGATTCTAATCTCTTGTCTCCATAGTGAAAAGGGCCAATAGAAACAATGCTAGGAGTATAAGCTTCTTCATTCACCTTGCGAATTTTTTGAGGTACTTTGTAGATACAACAATTTGACACTAAAGGTAGTTCCACGCTTTTTAACATAGCTTCCATATGAATTATCAAATCCTTGTTTTCAGTTTCACTTTCATCACCAATTTTGAGGCACTTTAAACCATTCTCTTGTGACTCCATTTCCTTCATCACCAATTTCTATCTTACCTTTCAGATTACTGAACTGGATAATGTGCAAATTGAAGTGGATAAACAATATATAAGTACCTATTTGAAGAATGCAAATTAAGGAGCAGATTCACAAGAATCTTACACAAGCAAAAGAAATTAATACGAATATTGAAAAATAGGGGAGAAATAAATTTTAAAAAATGATAAAATGAAATATTGTGGCGAAAATTTCAATTAAACACTTCATATATGCCCCAGCGAGTGCAACGCAGGTATCTTTTGAATCCTATTTTTAATCATAACATTTGTATCAAAATGAATTTTCCCTTAATATAAATTAAACAATTAAGTAAAAAAGTATCAAAGACCCACTACTCAAACTTTCAACATTTGGATTTGAATTTAGATCGACGCTTTCTTGAAGTTTTACTTTATTATCAAATCCAATGAAAAATTCCGTGAATAATAACTTCTAAGAAAATAATAGCAATATAGAATAAAGATTTTGTTTATTCTAGACTTGAAGGTGAAAGTTTTGACTTTTTCTATCGTTTAGTTGATTATAATGTTTAAAATTAGCATAGTTGACGTTGACAAAATAAAATATAGTTTAGTTGATAAAGTTCTTCACAGTTAATTGAAAGGACTAAAATTAAATTTCATTTTCACCCATGCCCTCCCTGAGTATAAATCATTTACCCTGAAAAACATAATTACCAACATTTTTCATAAAAAATACTCATGGTAAAATATATAAAAAAATATATAAATATTTGAAAACAGAATGGAGAGAGACTTTCAAGAATTGTTTGATTTCAGAAAACAATTTTAATTATAAAATTATCACTTTTTTCGTTGTATTTTCAAAGAAATGTATAGGAAACAAGGAAAAAGAATAAAAAGTTACGTTTTTTGGTATAATTTTGAAAAATTAAAAATAAAATAACTATATATTAATTTTATAATTTAAAGTAATAACAAATTAAAAAAACTCCTAAAATTAAACAGCTCCTTACATTTTGAGAAGTGGGGAGGCTAGTCCAAATGGGTGCTTCTAGATCCTTTCAAACATGTAAATCAACTCTGTTCTTTTAGCTAAAGTGCTATTGCAAGTTCATCATAGTTTTCCCTTTTAAATCTACACAGTCACAATCTGAATATCATAATCTAGTTATTATTTTATATAAAACATGTCTTGAATTCTTTTTGTTAATGTATGCCCATAGGAGATCTGAACTCTTTTCCAGAAAATAGCAACAAAAAAATATATAAAAGAGAAGAGTTTCAACCAAAAAGAAGAAAGAGAGGGCAAAAGAAAGAACCTGAAACTTGAAGGTTGGTCAAGTGTTAGAATCAAAGATAAACACACTAGTGTGCAACAACAATCATGAAACTTAGCTTCCCAATTTATAATGAGCTTCTCTACATCTAAAATGTTAAGTGCTTCAAAGCTCAAACTCTTAAATTACTGGTTCAATGCATTCCAAGACTAAAAGAAAAAGAAAGCCAAAGTCAACTGTGTAAGTCAGAACACAACGACCAACTATTTATATATATAACAGTTTTGAAGTTACAGAGAAGTTTCGTTTTACTTTTAAAGTCAAAATATTTAAGAAACAATTTAAAATGATATTCTCTTTTTTTTAGATATCATTTAGTATTAATTTATATATTTTAATAAAGTAATTATATTTTATCAATTATCATAGTAAATTAAGTTGATTTTACTCAAATATCTTTGTTAAAAGTGTTAAAATTATTGTATTAGTTAGTTAATAAGAACTACTTCTAGAGAAATACTTAAATATTAGTTAACAAAAACTATCTTAATACATCAGAATATTATTGAAAAAAAATTAGTACTTTTTAAATATTTAAAAGAAGTAAATAATTGAGACAAATAAAAAAAAAAAAAAATATTTAATATGAGACAAAAGGAGTACTAAGAAGTGAGGTCCTCTGAAAATAGCCAAAACCGTTTTCGGTAAAAGTTTTAGGTGAGTATTTGAAAGAATTTATATGTAGAGTTTATATAAATAGTTTATGGTTTTTACAAGTTCTTTTAAAACTTATTTTAATAAATTTATTAATGTATAAGTTATTAAAATAATTTTTTCCAAATTATTTTAATAAGTTCCATAATCAAATTTATATCATAAACTTTCATGTTATATTATTTATACTTTCTATAAATTAAAAATTAATTTATATTTTTTAACTTTTTAAATTAATTTTTTTTAAAAAAATTACATAAATTTTAATTTATAAACTTTTTAAATTATTTTACTCTTTATTATTTTTATTTTACCAATTCTTAAACATAACTCTATTGAAAGTGAACCTTATTTAATTAAAGTAACTTATGTTAAAAATTTGTATATTTTAAGCTAGTTATTAATTAGCGTTTAAATAAAACGATACCTGAAATTTTATCTTTTTAAATTTGTAAATTTATCTTTTTAGTATTTTATTTTATCGATAGCCTTCAAGATTACAAAGAAAAATATTTTTCTTTTTCAAAATAATGTTTTTAGTATTTTATTTTATCGATAACCTTCAAGATTACAAAGAAAAATATTTTTCTTTTTCAAAATAATGTTATTTAACATTATATATATATATATATATATATATCAATTTTCATGAAATAAATACTAAAAAATATTTTCAAATATTTTCTTATATTTTACATTATTTACACTTTAATTTTTATATTTTATATTAATTGCAAAAAGGTCCTTATCTCCAAATTTGGTAAGTTTCAAATTGTCCATTGTATCTCCCATGTATTCAAGGTCATTAATTCATGTCAAATATGGTGTAAATCATTTTCATGGTACTATCACATATGTGGTCAAGTGTCTTGCATTTTTAAGGAATTTTTAGTCCAAGTCCATGATATTTTTTCATTTTTATGTTCAATCTTTCAATTTTTGTTTTTTTTAAAGTTTGTTCTTATCATTAGTCCATGTAATTCATAGGTCCAAATATGTCCAAAAGTCCAAGGATCTTAATTATGATCACTTTCCATTTTTAATCCATTTCTTTTTAGAAGTTTCTTTAATAAATCTTCAAACATAATTTAGAAATTCATTTTGACTCCAAAATAATTTCAATCCAAAAGAAAATCATGAATTCAACTTAGACACCATAGAAATAAGTCAAAACATCATAGATTCACATGAAACATGTAAGATTTTCATGCAACCAACCATATAACAAGAAAGTCATCATCAAATACAACACACTTTGTACTCTTAGTGATTTTCATGTATTTACTTATTTCAATCAAATTTTTAATCATAGATTCATCAACACATACAAATTCAACACAACAAAAAAGGATTAAGGTTCCCCTTTGACTCAAAATCATTTAAACAAAGTATTCTCCTTAATTATGAAAAATATCTTCCCTTTACTTGGTGTTTTTGGGTTGATCTTGTCTTGATCTTTGGGTGATTCTTCTCCTTGTCCCTTTTTTCTTTCTTTCTCCTCTTGAAAATGAGTTTCCTTCTCCCTTGGTCTCCTCCTTGCTCACTTGACAATGCTCTCTAAGAAGAGTTAGAAACTTTGTGGATTTGTGGGATATCTTGGTGTTTTTAGTGGAGTTTAAAGGTTTGATTCAAGACTTTTATGGTAGGGTATTGAGTGATCTAACTTTGTGGGTTCAAGTGAAAGTATTTGAGATGAACTTGGATGTGTTTAGAGAAAATTAAGATAAAGAAGAATGCAGAATTACTTAGGCTTGCATGAAAAATGAGTGAAAGTTCTTCCCTTTTGCATGCATGCCTTTAAATAGAGTTTTGGATTGATGTTGGCCCTCCCCCAAAGCATCGCACAACTTCACACTTCTCTCACAAGTGTTGAGATTCAATTTTAGTACATTTTTGGTTTATTCTACAAGCTTACACATGTGCATATTTGTAAGAGTCCAAATTGTCCTTTCATGATGACTTTTGTACTTCTAGTTGGATTTTAACCTTCCTAATTCTATTCTAATCATTCCAATTACTTTTTGAAACCTATTTAGTTTAGATCCAATGGCCATGGTCATGGTTCAATTAGATCCATTGAATGAGAATTAATCCAATCATTAACATAAATTACTCATCATTAATTTTATCTCCTTAATGATTACCTTGTTGACTTGGCTTGACTTTATTGGCTCTTGTGAAATATACTCATCCAGCTGGGATTAAACCATAATTAACCTTATCCCTTAATCATGATTAGTCTCACATGGGCTCTAATAGGTCACATGACTCCTTACTACTATTCCTAGCCCACTTCCTTTATTTATACTTGATTTTTTTGCCTACTTTTGGGTAATTTATATACTTGCTCTTTAGGCTCCATACTTGCACGTTCGAAATCTCTATATATGGGCTATCCACCATAAACATTTTAGAATTTATCTCGTTCATTTGTTTGTCCAAAATGGGTCTCCATTCTAGATGTTTGTAGGAGTATTTTGGTCAAATTTTGTAATTTTATTTATTCTCTATTTTTAGACTTTTCTAGACTTCTTACAACTATTCTAGATACCAATCAAACCTGTTTCAATAAATTTTACTAAAGGAAATTATAGTTCTCAAGTATCTATGTACTACTCACATCTAATTCAGTAAGATTAACATAATTCAATAATCATTTATAAACTGAGGGAAAGTTTGGAGTATTAGTAAAAGTTTTTTGGTATTATTATTTGTAAGTGAATTATGTAAAAAAATAGATTTGAGAGAAAAAAAAGCACAAAGTGATAGTGTCGTGTTCACAATTAGGATAATAATATCTTGAGTAAGATAAATATGTGTTAATTAGGGTAATGATATACTAAGTACTTGATGTGTATCAATGTTGAGTTGAAACTCTAATAGTCAACTCAATGCTTAACTAAAAGAGGTTAATAACATAGACTAAATTTTTACTCCTTCTGTTCTAAGATTTTAATGCACACTTGAATTTTAGCACTCTTTGAGGTTGTGTTTGGATATAAAATTTTAGAATTCTTAGATAAT